ATATATATATATATATATATATATATATATATATATATATATATATATATATATATATATATATATATATATATATATATATATATCAAATTACTTAAATTTCCACACCTATAAATATTGTTGTAACGTAACCTAGGAAATTAATGATGTACAAAATACTTAATAACCACACTGTCCATAATCTATAAACGTGTGTTTCTGCAAAAAAACACAATTCAGTCTAATTATGATTTGCGTACGTTACGGACCTCATAATATATAACTAATTCTTTATTAATATTAATCTTTTGATTCTCTTCTCTATGTATATATATAAATATCACATTACTTTAATCTCCACACCTATACATGTTGTTGTATCGTAACCTAGCATCATTCCTGATGATGAGTAAAACGTATCGCAGAAAGCTAGAATATATTAAGAACGAAGTTACCGTTGTGTTGTTTACATACCTGATCCATTATCAAAAACTACAGCCGCATCGTCGTCTGCCATTTTTACAACAAACTTCGAGTGTTAAGTGATTCTAACGTACTGTCCACCTTTCAGTAACAAGCTGCTTTGAAAGAAGCAAAATGATTCTTTCAAAAGTTACAGGCAAACCGGATGTTTTTTTGCAAGCATCTTTGCAATGTGCGTCATAACATTGTAATGTTGATGTGAAAATTACTCGGATCAGTGCAATTACCTTTTCGACTAGTTCGTAGAGCGTCCGAGCGTGGCCAAATGCACGATCTTTTGTTCTTCATTTTATGTGCTCGCCAAAACGGCAGTTAAAAACAGTACGTGAATGTAAAAGTTGAAAATGAAACTAAATGACATAAAACAGTGATCAGTGAATATTGTGGGTAGAATAATATATTCATTCGAGCGAGATGCCACTGACAAAAATCTTGATATTGAATATTGTGCTGCCTCATGGCCAGTTTATAATTATAGCAAACGAGAGCGTGTTTTATTGGAGCGAAGATTTGATGTCCACGAATAGGTAGTCAAGAAAATCTAACAAAAACAACATTCGAAAACAGCTTCAGTGGGACCAGAGCTACAATCATGGAATAAATTTGCTCCTTGAAAGGCCAATTTGCAAAGTCTGAAGTTAGGAAAATCTCAACGAGATCTCGTACAATTAGTGGCGGTGCATCGCATGTAAAAGGTATTCAATACCGTTTTCTGTCTGCTTCGAACACATGCGACAACACTACAATAGTGAAATGAATATACTGGAACGCTTTCTCCAACTGGAAACAGCCAAACTTTGAAGGCCAGTTCCAGTCTTTCAAAAAAACGCGGTCAATCCAACATGAAACGTGTTCTTGAAAACTTGCTCAATGTTTACAAGTTAACAAACTTTTCAACAGCGCTCACAACTTTTTATTAATGCATTTATTCAGGCAAAACCTCCTGGTAGACTTTACTTTTGGAGGTTTTTTTTTTAATTAAAACGACATACTCGCTCCCTGAACTGGTCTCGCGAGAGAATCACAGGACACAAACACGCAGTTCTTCACTCCCAGACACGCAGGAAATGTAACCAGGAATATTAAGTTAACCCAAATATGGTTATGTCTAGGTTAACCAGGTTTCAGCAGAGTGTTTCTCGAGTGTACTGAATGAGCTTGGCACACAATCTTTATATAGAACATGATTGACTTTTCTGTGTTAGTGTTATGTACTCGGGTGAATATATGATGTTTGTGATGTTACTCTGAGTGTATATCCACACCGGGCGAGCTTGAAAAATATGCCTGACCACGGTGGGAATCGAACCTACGACTTTTGGATACGACCACCTGATACTTGACTTTCCACATAAAACAGAAAGGAAAAGTAGAAACTTAGCTACCTCCTGAAATCAAAAACAGGTGTAGTCAAAATATGATTTAATTGAATGATATAATTAAAAACTATCAATTATTCGAGATTTTCCACACTCCTAAAATATATCGTAGTCGAATTAAGAGAAGATCCTTGCCCATTTGAAGCCAACTCCAAAATGGGACCATTTTTGATCCTAAAAATAAAATAAGTATTTATTTAGTTAGGTCCATGCAAGAGCAAAGTATATCTTCACAATTTCATGCAATCATTACACATGATCTTCTTAACTCTGAAGCGAGGAGTTACTTCAAGGCACAATGAATAAACTTTACTGTTTATTGCGCCTCAATGGTCTGTTTGCAATTCAGCATAGTTGGCGCACACTAAAGTTGTATCCGGAATATCCTCCAGGTTGCTCCATTTATTGTTTGGAGTACTTTATTTTTTTTTGTACTCTAACGCGGTAACGCCCCTACGCAAAAGTAAGGACAGCCAGAACAGTCATGTGACTGTGTTCGATTCTATTTTCTTACTGTTACAAAATCCGGAGTACTCCGAACAGTCAATGGAGCGGCCTAGGGCCCATGTGTCGTGTGTGAGTATGTGTTTCTTTTTAATATTGAGCCAATCACAAACCTTTATCCTTAATGGACCTATTCCCTAATGAACAAAATTTTGATCTAGACAAGTCTAAACAACAATTTCATCACAGCTTGAAAGAGCATTACAAAATTAGTAATATTCCGAAGTTTCGTTGCGAAATGTTGTAAAATGCGGATAATATAACCTTGCGAAGTTTGCCGTTTTGACGGGAAATTGATACCGCTTTCTGAAAAAAAGGTATCAATTTCCCGTGCGTAATACAAAATGACTGAAAAACGGCAAACTTCGCAAGGCTATATTATCCGCATTTTACAACATTTCACAACGAAACTTCGGAATATTACTAATTTTGTGATGCTCTTTCAAGCTGTGATGATTTTTTTGTCTAGACTTGTCTGCATAAAAATTTTGTTCATTAGGGAATAGGTCCATTAACTCTATTGTGCATGAAACATGAGGAAATAAACACACATAAAAACGTGAGGGGAAAAAACACATGAAAACGAGGTCGTTGCGGCTCGCGAGTGCGAACAGTGCAGTCTATTTGTCGTCATTTAGTGCATAATAATAAAATAATATTAATACCAATTGTCTGGTTATTAGAGGTGTGCAAATCCGATCCGAATTCGATCGGATTCGTTCGGATTTCGGAACCAAAATATTCATATCGGATCGGATTGATAAAGTTGTTCCGTAGTCGGATCGGACTTCGATATCCGAAATAAAATGAATTAATTACCCATGCATGCACGCATTATCGCAAGAATTAATTATCCATACTTTTATCAAAGCATTATCGCGGATGTTGCTGCATTATTCCTTTGATACTTCAATTGGACGTCACTTTGTCAGCTTCTTGACATGTATTTCTTGCTTTTATATTTATTTAGTTAAATATTTCAACTTGTACGAGAAATTTATTTTATTAAAGATAAAATCGGATCGGATTGGAATTCTTTATCAAACCTCGGATCGGATCAACCTCGTACCCAGGGCTAGCCGCGAATTGAAGGTGGCGGCGTAGCCCTGGTAAACGCTGGTCACGTGACTCGAACATTACGTAATTGTTACTTTTCTGATCCGGGGGGTGAATTCTAGAGGTGAAACTCGACGACCAACAGTTTTTAGGTTTTTAGCACGAAATTCTTCAATCTTCCCTGTGAATTTTGCATTTCAAGCTTTTCTCAAAGTACGGCGATCGATCAAATGGATCAATACTTTCTGTGGAAAAAACTCAGTGAGATTTGTTCGTATGCGACGTTTAAAAGACTTGGATATGTCGCTCAAGACGCTCGATCATTACACAGGTTTTATGGTTTAGTACTTTGTTCAGTTTGTTGCGACTTGCGAAGCAAATGAATGCAAATTCAACTCTTGTATCATGACTAAAAGTTGGTTAGTAGAGGGACAACTGATACAAAAGATATGAATACTTCAGCTTCAAACTAGGAACAAGTTCTGATTTCAGAAGTTCATGGACATCCCTAATATATGAGCATTGATATTTCACCAATATGTAAATATGACTATTAAATATATAAAAGGATTGCTGTTGTATATGTACAAGTGTTGTGCTGTGGTATTTACATCTTAACCCTTTAAGTCAATGCACCCAGATGCGCCCTACTTTGTTAGTTTACTCTGTCTAACACCAGACAATTTTACTCGTCAGGGGAAAAGTGCATGCTGCCACTCAATGGGTTAACATAGTCGATGAACATGCCAAATGATCCTTGACCGTGGTAGCGCATTTTTGCACTTGCTGGATGATATCGCAACCAAGCATTGTTTCAGAGGAAGAGCCCTGGGATCATACTGTGTAGCAATTGGAATCTCACGTCACGAAGGTCTTGCATAAAGCTGCATGGCAAGACCTTCACTCAGAAGCCAGGATTAATATTAATTCCCCACATAAACACTTGGAAACCGGACTGTCCCATCTGCCATATGCAGGACAAAAAAACATGCAGCCTGGACTTTAACTGTTAAACAACCAAATCAGCATTGTAAACAGTGTGATGATTTTTGCTTAGCCAAAACCAAAGCCAGTTTTCTAGAATTAATTTGCAGAATCCTAAGAACTGGACGTCCAACTTGAAGAGCACAGCTGTGCTAACCAAGTCAACAATTACTGTGTATGGGCAACCCTGAATTGAAGTGACTAGAGCAAATCTTCAAAGAATAATAGAGAGAGCAGATTTGACTTCCACTACTGCTATTGCTATCATTAACTAACCAGACAAGTTTCATCTACCCAATCAAACACTGGATGCAACTGCCAGATCAAGTAGTGGTAGTGGAAGTCAAATTTGAATCTTTTTGTATGGATTTCAGAGAGACCAGTCATTATTTGCTGATACATTATTATAACTTGTATAATCAAAAGCTACTATATTCATTTATGATA